AGCATGCCACCCCGTTCCGTGCCAGAAACTGCATCAGGCCTTTCCTTCGTGGTCGTATCCATAGTCCTTGCGGGAGATCTGGTGGTTGCTTACAGTCATTTTTTTTTAGTCTTCACACCCTCTGACAAATTATGCAGATCCATGCTGGAAACTTCCCCGTGACTGACAACTGTAAAGATAAACTGGAGAGGGACCTGCGACCCGATTCCCCCCGGGATTTGAGCTTGGTGGATGCTGATTGAGGCTGGCTCCCCGCCGAGGGTCTGGCTCATCCCCGGGCGGAGCGTCTGTGCGAGGGATGTACGCGACTCGAGACGGGGGCTTACGGCAGCGCTCTGTGCTAGGCAGGGTTTGGCCCGAGCTGATTTGACCTTTATTTGCTTTCCCTTCTCTTTCAGAAGTCCATCCTCCTCCCACTGGGGGGTGGTTCAAGGAGGGGAGGGTGCCGGGCAGGGTGGCATCCGAGAGATCGCCCAGACATTGGTCTCAGCTCTCTGCACGTGCCCGATGCCGTCGGTTGTGAGCTGCTGCGGAGCGAATTAGCCGCGGATGATTTTTCTTCACGCGTTAAATTTCCTTGATGTTGACGTTCGTGCTCGCTCGCGTGTGTAATCAAAGCGAGCTTTTGCAGTCTCCTACAACCCCACACCTTCTGGTGATGTTTTTTATAGGTCCCAAATCGAAGTACGGCGCATCAGCAGGGGAAACATCTCACCTTAAAATGGCTGACAGCTCACACACTGAAGCTTTCAGCTTGTGCTGCTTTGTGTTACTTGCTTTTTTTGTTTTCCTTGTGATGGCTGTGCTCAGACCACGAGGTCTCCTGAAGCTCATTTTAGGTGCCTGGGCTACAGAAAGCGACGTGGGCGAACAATACGCTTGTCCCCAGGTCTGGCCGGCTCAAACCCCAGGAGGGAATGTGGATCTGCACAATATAATTACAGAACGAAGCCAGGCAGCCTGGCCAGCCACCTTCTTCCAGATGGTAAAGATCCGGCGCAGCGGTGCAGAGAAGGCGGCCGCAGGTCTCCCAGCTTTATGAACACCTAAAACTGTGTCTCCATCCTGGGGCACGTCCCCAGCACCCCGGGTTCCTGCCCAGGTCTGGTGGCAGCTGTGAGTCCAAGTGCCTGGACTCAGGCTCCCCCTTTCCTTTTTTCTTTTTGGGAGGTGGGAGAAATGAGATTTCCCTCGGTCTGCAGCTGCAGGGCTGCCCGCCCGCTGTGCACCGTCCCTCCTCAGCGCCGGGCACCATGTACTCGGTTGCCGTCACCAGCCGTTGCCAGAGAGGGCAAAAGAGGCGAGAGGTTTTGCTTAAAATGGGGTGATGGGGAAGAGGAGAGGCCGGGCGCGAGGAAGGGAAGCGGGCGAGTCTTCGTCCTCGGGTAAGCAGCCTCCCTGGGCCGCCGTGCCAGGTTTTCAGGGTGATACTCAGAACCCCACCAGCTGATTGCCAGAGTCCTTCCTGCCCGGCAGACCCAGACCCCATCACTGCTCGCTGCCAAGACCTTGTTACAGAAACGCTGATGAGGTTTTGCCTGGAAGCAAGCGTTAAACTGGGGGGACTGGGCAGCTGGCTTTCCTTAAGAGGTCCCTGCCTTCTCGCTGCTTTTGGTGAAACACAAGCTCCGTGATCTGTGTCACGGCAGATCCAGGAGACCCTGGGCTGCAAGCAGCTGTCAGTGAAGGCTTTGAGCAGGTGGGATGCAATTTCATACTGGGCTGGCTGGAGGTAATCTGGTTTTCTTCCTGGGTCTTGCACCGGAGGCGGGGAGTCGGAGGAGCGCCCCTGGAGAGCAGCATCCTGGCATCCTCGCTCAGATCCGTAAAAGCTGGAAAAATCTGACCTTGTATTTTTGCTCTCAGGTCTCTGATGAACCGGTTGTGAGTTTGAGCGCGTGCAGTTTGTAGAGGTCATTGGAAAATGGCACTTCATTTGCATGAACTTTAAAGAAATTGCGCGGGTTTTTATATTCCCCTGTCTACCCGCAATTTCTCAAAAAAAATTTTTTTCACCTCTATTTAGAAATGCAATGCCAAATCTTTTCTTATTAAAATCTTCTACCAGCACCAGCTGCTGGTTTTTTTTTTAAGAAAAAACAAAAGATTTCAATCACAGAGGGAGAAAACCCGTGGAAAGACTTGTTTGGACTGAAAAGCGTGTTTTGACAGGAGTATTTCAGCCAGCTTCGATGTTTTGAGTGCATCTACCAAGCGCGTGTACTTGCAATTTGTTACTATTTTGGCCTCCCGAGAAGAAACCGCGTGTCCCATGCCCAGCCGAGGGGGTCCCGTGGGGTGAATTTGGCACCCAAAAGCCCAGAGAAGTCATCCAGGTTGTTAATCCTGGGAGGACTAAGAAAAACACTTACCAGAGCCGCTGAGTTTGCTGGCCTGCCGTAATCCCGTGGAATCAGAGGTTCTCAATTATTCATGTTTTCCAGAATCACATTATTTCTTCCAGGGCCTGTTTTATAAATGCTGCTGCTATTTCTGATGGTAAATAACAATTTTGCATTATTTATGAAGGGATTTTTTTACAACTGCTGATATTACAGCTGCTGCCAAAGCGCTGGTAAAATGATTGTTGCTGTTTGTTGTTGTTTCTTTCTTACAATGCAACCCTCTTGTTCTCTGCGCCACGGCGATGCGCCCGTCACGGTGGGACGGCCGAGCGCTCCTAAGAGCAGCCCCAGCGAGGAAGAGGGTGGAAATGCAAGCAGGGGGACTCGGAGCTGAGGTGATCCGGGGATAGATGGGGAGAAGACCCCAGGTCGTGGTTAAATTCGCAGAGGAGGGAGCCTAGTTGTCTCCTTGTGCCAGCCATGGAGAGCTCTGTGGGACTTCTGGGCTTTACACCCCTGTTAGCGCTCTGGGAAAAATCGAAGGTCGCGTGGGAATTTTGCAGATGTACATTTGGAAACCCACATTTCTAGGAGAAAGAACATGTTCCTGGGGCTGAGGAGCACTTCCAGGCCTGAAACCCAGCGCTACTGCCCATCGCACAGGCAGGGACGCGTGCTCACCTCTGCTAGCCTGAATTTTAAGTGCTGGAAGCAATAGGAGCTCCTGACTAAAGGGGTTTAAAGATGAACCCTGCTGGCAGGTTCCTGGGGGCAAGAGGAAGCACGGTGTAACCTGCTCATCCATCACATGCCTGCACGTATTGATGTGAGGAGGTGGTGGCAAAGTGGGGTGGTGGGGTGGCTGCTTGCACCTACAGGTCTAATTCTTCTCATCATTTATTTCAGAGGGCAAAAAATGTCCCTCGCCGATCCCTTCACATTTTAGTAGTTCAGTCCCTTGCAGATCTGTCTGGTCTCCAGTTTGGAGGAGACTTAGTGGAGATGGCCTGAGATGTGTTGTCTAACGGGACACTTTGTTTTGTAGAACAATGGGATCATAGAATGGTTTGAGTTGGAATGGACCTTAAAGATCATCCAGTTCCAACCCCCTGCCATGGGCAGGGACCCCTCCCACCAGCCCAGGTTGCTCCAAGCCCCGTCCAGCCTGGCCTTGGACACTTCCAGGGATGAGGCACCCACAGCTTCTCCGGGCAACCTGTGCCAGTGCCTCAGCATTCTGTAGGCAGCTTTAGACACAAGAAGCTCTGACCCAGCTTCACCCCGGCACTGGAAGGCGTTTGGAGGAGAGAAATCCAAATGAAATCCTTCTGGGCAGGCAGGAACAAGACATTTGGCTGGTGCTTGGGAGAAAACATTGATCGTGATGTTGTATTAAAGAGTGCTTAGAGCTCTCTGAAAGGCTCGTTGTGGCTTCTGCTCCGTTTCACCCAGCTCTGCTCACGCTGCGTTTCAGGGAGCGCAGGGCTGTAGGAGGTGGCCGTGAGACGCGGGTGACTTTGCAAAGGCCACTGGCTGCAGTTTATCACTTGGCTCTTCGGCTGCTGCCTCTGTCTGTCGCCTCTCTCGGTCTCACGTGCTTTGTGTCGTGCTGTCACCGCAGCAGACGGAGCGAGGCATCCCGGGCAGGACCTGCCCTGCACCCTGAGAACCCAGCAACTCGTCTCTTGTCTCTCTGCCTGCGTTCGTGATCTCCGGCTGTGTCCTGTGAGCCGCTGGGGGCCGGGAGGCGAGGATGTGAGGGACCACATCAGAAGGTCACAGCTTGATGGAGGGGTGGCCGCACGCCTTGCTTCCCTCCCAGCGCTTTCCAGACTCGAACGGAGCAGGTTCCGGAGGGAATTGTAAAGCAGCTGGTCCCGCTTGCTGCCTTCGGTGTCGGGAGGATGAGGGAATTGCTTTAGCACGCAGCATTGCCCATGGTATTAGTTCAGGCGGCCCAGCTGGCTCCTTCCCTGCCTGCAGGGACCTGAAACACCCTCGGGTCCCGGCAATGGGACCTGGACAGCCACCAGTGACCCCCTCCAGGCCTTTTGGCCCTCACAGAGCTGAAACCAGGTTGCTGGATAACAGATGTGGGCGCCGGATCTTTCAACGCCTGCTAAACCAGGCGAAAAATCACCCTGTCGGTCACTGGGCAGGCCCTGCCCTGAGTGCCCAGGCGAGGTGCTCCCCAGCACCCCGTGCTGGCCTGTCTTGTCCCCCTGCCACCAGGCATCGAGCCCTTCCCTGGCTCAGCCTGCTCAGTAGCTCAGTTACCCTCCATAACTTAATTTCTCCCCACTCCGTGATGACACAAGGGGCTTTATCAAGCACAGCAGGGAGCAGCACGAGCGGAAAGACTGCAGAGATCCAGCCCATCTATTTTTTTCCCCTCCCTGGCCTGTCTGGAGAATAACATATTATAAAATACCCTGCAAACCAAGGCACTGAAAGGCAGGCAGGCTCATGGAGAAGACAGACCTAGGTCCACCAGCCCATTACTTTGGGCCGCCAGCCAGGCGAGAGTCAGGGTCTGTCTAACAAATGTCATGTTGCCATGGAGTCAAAACCAGAGTTGGATCCAATTTTGTTGCTGTTGGAAAACAGAGTTAAACGCAAACAGCAGCAACTTGTGTTTTCTCCTTCCTTCTGCAGATCTTCTCCATCGTGGTGTTTGGCTCCATCGTGAACGAGTGCTACGTGAACATGGACAGCGGGGACCCCGAGCTGTACTGCATTTTCAATAAGAATGAGAGTGCCTGCAGCTACGGCATCGCCGTTGGCATCATTGCCTTCTTTGGCTGCATCTTCTTCTTTATTGTGGACCTCCACTTCCAGCAGATTAGCAGCGTGAAGGACCGCAAGCGGGCTGTCCTGCTCGACCTCGGCTTTTCAGGTACGTCTCTGGCTTTTGGCAGCACAGGGTTGTTGCTGTGCCCTGCGGCTCCACGCTCAGGTCCTCCTCTTTTCTCTCTCTCGGTCGGGGAAAACAGGGGTGGCAGATGCGTTGTCGCATCCAACCATGAGCTCAGAGGCAGCAGCAAGGTGTGTGGTGGCTTCGGGACAATGGGAGGTCCCACTCTAGGTCACTTCTGCAAGCGGAGGTTTTTTGCTGAGCTGGTTTCGGCGAGGCCACCAGGGGAAGTGAGTCTTAGTGGTTGCATCTCAGAGACCAGACGGGGTGTTTTACCCTCCCACACCTCCTGTTTCTGGCTCAAGCAAATGTCGTTTCATCGGTTACATCTGGGTCTGTTTTCGTTTTGTGTTTGTGTGGTTTGGAATGAAGCAGAAACACACTTCTACACCGCGCTGTAACCCCCCGCTGCCTCCGGGCCTGCGGCGTGCACGTGGGCCTGGGGCTCCTGTGGATCTTCTAAATCATCCTGAGCCCCTTTACGTGGGGCTCACCCGCGCAACCGTGAGCAGGCGGGATGCCTCGAGCTGGAAGAGCCCATCCTCTGCATGGCTGAGTTCGCAGCCCATATTCTCCATTTCCAGGCTCTTGTGTTAGCAGAGTCTGAAGGTGATTTATCCAGCACGAGCGTCGCTGGTGACTCTCAGGTCCCAAATGAAAACATCCATCATCACCTCCCCGGGCTTGCCTGTGTTAAGGATGTTCTCTCCTTGCTGGAAAGCTTCATTTCCACGGTGCCGTAGCGCTGATGTCCAGTCCTCGTTAAATAATATTTACAGCCCCTTCCGTGGGGCTCGGTGCCTCCAACCCTTCCACTCAAATGGAAGGGGAACATCACATCTGTCTTCTGGCCGACGAAGTGTGTTGCGATCCTCCCCGCCTCCCACCTCCTAACGACCGTTCTCTCCCCTGCCAGGTGTGTGTGAAGCGGTTCCACGCTCAGTCGCTCCCTCGTTTCCCTTTTGCTCTTGTCACACCTCGTGTGGGCGTTCACCAGTCCCCGCTCTCCCCACTTAACGAACGGTTCCGCTGCCGCTGTGCTGCCGTCCGGCTCAGTGCTCCTATCAATGGGAGCATTGGCCGAGGCTCTTGTAACCAAGTCCCTGGTTGCAAATGAACACGTCGCCCCCTCGTTCTGTTTTTTCCGTCTCCTCCAAAGCCCAAACTCAGGGCAGTGCTGCACATGCTGCCTCCCAGGGGAGGCTGCGGGTCCCTGGGCTCTGGCGGGAGGAATTCCTCAGCACGTTTTATCTTGTTCCTATTGCTGCGCCTTCACTTTCTAAATTTGTGGCTGCCCCAAACTTCCCTTGGAGCCCTGCCGCCACAGCCTGCCCACCCACTCCCATGGAGGTGCCGGGCGGCCGCTTGCTCCCGGAATAAGCATCAACACGGGCAGATCCCACCGCGGGGATGGAGTGCGGGGTTTTGTAGGGCCATGAAGTCCCCACAGCTGCAGAGATCGCAGCCCACCGTGCCCCTGCACGCATCCTGCCGGGAGGCAGAGCTGACCCACGTAATCTACCTTGTTTAACTCCCTCCATGTTCAGAACCCCTGGAGACTTCATCTGTGGGCTTCTCTTACACTGTCCCCTTTTTTAATCGCCACCGAGGCTGAGGCTCTTGGTTTCCTCTTGCTCCCTCGCAACCGTTTCATCCTTTCTCTCCATATGTGATCTCTGCAGGATTCCATGATATAAAAGATGAAATAACCATGTGAGGAGCAGATGTCAATGGGCAGGTGCAGTCTCCGGGGGAGTTAATGAAAGTGTTAACCCACAACTTCGTTTTGCTCGAAGGGAAAGGGCTCGTGCATGGGATCAGCAGCCCATGAGGGCTGGGAGGACAGCTCGGCTGCAGGCAGGGGTGCAGGCGTGGCCTCCGCGCTGCACAAATGCCGTTTGCAACTTTCTCTTCCATCTGCTCTCGCAGCTGCTCCCTCATGGACGTGCGCTTGCTCGGGACCGGGCTGTCGTTATGGCTGGAACACATCTTCCCTAGTGTTTGCACTCGCTTGTCTGCAGATCCTAAAACCTTAATTATCCACGGGCTCTCGCGGTGCTTCCTGGTGTTTCCCGTTTCCCCGGCGGGTGCGGAGCTGCTCCCGTGCTTGTCTCCAGCTGGAGCTGGGACTGGCACATGGAGCCTCGACCACGCCGCTGGCAGCTCAGCCCTCTGCGCCAGGTTTTAAAGCAGACATCTCTGAAACAGCCGCTCACACCTGATGCTGTAAATGCGCCAGAGCAGAAGGTGAACGTGATGACAAATGAAAATAAGGACTGGTGCAGAAACAAACAGAGCTCCCACAGAGCTCCCTGGGAGGTCTGATCTCACACGCAGGCGCGTGGCAGTCCTCTGGGCTTTGGCCAACGCCTGCCTGGGGGTTCTGGAGGTGCTCACCATGCCTGACCCCATCTCCTCCGCTGGCAGTGATACCTGCCTTCCCCCTTCCCCAGAACACTGGAGGGAATCCTGCTTCTTCTCAGGGATCCGGGCAGAGCTGGGTGTGGAGGGGAAAGGCTTGTCTCTGTGTCGAGAAACCTCCGGGAGGTCCACGTGGGTGGGAGCAGGAGCGATGCCAGCGAGACAGTTCTGGCTGGAGGAGCGAACGCTTTTCGCTGGGAAGGTCAGTGTCTCACCTATCTCAGCGTTGCAGAGTGGCTGCGGTGCACGGTCGGAGCTGTGCATGATGTCATTTTAACTCTTGAAAAGCCTTTGGAAGACACCAGCAGCAGACGGGGCTTTGTGGCACCGGTCGATGGGCAGCCCCCGTGTCACGGCCGCGACCAGTGCTCTGGGGGAGCATCCTGCCCGGGAGCTCACGAGGGAGGATTAACAGCAGCAGCTCGAGTGTTAAACAAAGAAACAGTCCTCCTGAACAAGTTCACCCTTTACAAACCCGTGGCACAATCTAGCCCTGCCGGAGACCCCTGTGTTCCTTGGCACGAGCCCCCAGAGCTTGTCCCTGAGCCACCCTCTGCTGCGACCAGTGCTCTGGGGGAGCATCCTGCCCGGGAGCTCACGAGGGAGGATTAACAGCAGCAGCTCGAGTGTTAAACAAAGAAACAGTCCTCCTGAACAAGTTCACCCTTTACAAACCCGTGGCACAATCTAGCCCTGCCGGAGACCCCTGTGTTCCTTGGCACGAGCCCCCAGAGCTTGTCCCTGAGCCACCCTCTGCTCCCCACAGCACAGCTCCAAACCAGCCTGTTGGATGCTGCTTGTGGCTTTCATCTCTGGTCTTCTGACCTCCAAACACTGGTATTTCTAGGAAAGTGTGTTCTTTGAGCGAGGAACTCCGGATTTAGGGTTGCTCCTCAAGCACGGGAGGGCGGTGCTCCCCGCTGCCTTGGCGTTTGCTGCCCAAGGACCCAGAGGTGGGAGCGGTGCAGTGCCGCAGCTTCTGGAGATGTGGTTCAGCTTCTGGAGATGTGGTTCAGGCCGTCTCTCGGCCACGCACCTTCTCCTCTCCATGTTTAGGGGTTGGATCTGCTTCCCCTAACCAGCTGAGGGGAACGGAGCTGAGGGACTAGAAGGTGCCCGTGTCCCTGCGGATGACCTCTGAGGGTAAGGCCCAGTGGTCTCAATTAACACTGATGACAAATAGGTCATCCTAAGGGGAATTGAAAGTACATGTGCAGAGACTCGCAGAGTCACAGGATGTTCGGGGTTGGAAGGGATCATCTAGTCCAACTCTCCCCACCAAAGCAGGATCACCCAGAGTAGGTCACACAGGACTTGTGGCAGTTTCGGTGGCCACCGTTGGCTGTACTCAGCCAAAAGGGGACCGTTGTGTTAGTCTGTGATTCAGAAAAGGAAGCCCTGGCTGATCCTGGCTGGAGGTTGTGTTGCTGTGAGGACAGCTGGAGGGCTCAGGCACGGCCGGGCTGACAAAAAAAACACCAGTCAGGAAGCCCCTGGCCCCACCACGCAGGGGAAGGGCGTGAGGAGTGCGTCTTCTTCAACTGCAGTTAGGATCAAATTCTGAGTTAAAGGCGAGGCGTGCGATGGGCCTGGACCTCTTGCGCTGGGTGCGGACGCACACGTGCGTTTTATGTTGTCTTTGGGAATGGCTGGCAAGAGAGAGGGGAAGAAAGGAAGCTTCTTAAAAAACCAGCCCGTGCTCGGCACCCGGCTGCCCCATGGGCTCACTGGTGTGGCCGCTCCCACCGCCGTGCTCACAATCCTTGGGAAGGCGCTGGGTAGCTCAGCACCCCGCCTGCCAGCACCCAGCATTCCCACACTGACACCTCCCACAGTGAGCGGCGGCGAGACCTTTGTGCTGGGGACGCTCAGGAAAGCTGGAGACCCTTAAAACACCGTCATGGAGGGCTCCGGGTTGTGCAGCTCCTTCTCCCAGCACTGGGTAACGTCGCTGCTCTGAGCTCGTGGCTTGGCTCTCTCAGCTCCTCGGCATGAGGCAGCACCGCTGGCTGGTGGTGATTGAATCAGGGGAGCTGCAGCCCTGTCTTGCTCAACCAGCTTCGCTTCCTAGAAGGAGTAAACACCAGAGACTAAGAGCAGGAGAGCTGAGCAGAGCTCTCTTACAGGACACCCGCGTCCCCCGCGGCCCCACAGGCAGCCCCGCAGCGTCCCTGCCCCGGGCACGATTCTTTCTGTCTCCGTTTTTCTGGCAATTGCAAATCAACCTGCTTTAAAATAGCTCTTTTTTGGGCCACGCTGCAGGCCGAGGCATCCGAGATCACTGTTGCTATTTGAAAATCTCAAGGGCGGCGTGTTTGTGCGTCAGGAAATGGGGATCCCGGCGGCGGAGGGGCCTGTGGGCAGCGTCAGCCCTGACCAGCTCTGTGCTCTTTCAGGTTTCTTGTCCTTCCTGTGGTTTGTAGCCTTCTGCTTCCTAGCAAACCAGTGGCAGCGGACAACGATGAGCAAAGGAGTTTTGCAAGGAGCAGACGCCGCCCGGGCAGCGATCGCCTTCTCTTTCTTCTCTATCATTGTCTGGGTGAGTTCAACTTCAGAGCCAAAGTGGGGAGAAACGAAACCTGCTCCGGGCTCAGCCCTGAGCTGAGGAGGAGGAATCCGTGGCACGGTTTGGAGAAGTGAGCAGTGAGGGGCTGTCCTGAGGAAACCCGCGATCCCTCCGAATAAACACGAAACTTGTGGTTCCTTACCCGGGAAGCATCAACTCAGTCTCCTCTCGCTGGGGAATTCCAGACTTCCCCTTCTCCTGTGGCTGGGAAGTTTTGTTCTCATCAAAAACGTGTCACCAGCCATGAGCTGCCCTCATTTTGGGGCCTCCTTAACCCCCCGGGAGCAGCTCAGTTCGAAGCAAATGAGTCCCCAGGAGCGGATCGCTGCCATGAGCTGGCCTCGCGGGAGGGTGGGGGGATTTTGGGAGCTCTCAGGCTGGCTCCTCTGCTGCGCACCCCGGAGGCAGGGGCTTGCAGGAACCCCCTTTGCTCCCACTTTTAGGCTCTGAGCATCCCCAGGGCCGTACAGAACAGAGATATGTTTGCCAGGGGCGTGCAAAACCCGGCGGGGCCGTTCGACCGCAGCTCCTGCGGGTGCCTGTGGGTGCCTTTGCCCCTCAGGGGCTCCACAGGCTTCATGTAGAGCGTCAGAAACGGCCCCTGCATCATCTCCACCACCCCCACACCAGCTTTTCGTGGGCAGAGAGCACCCAAGACGTGCACTAATCCCACATTGCCGTAAAAGAATTGAGGCAAAAGCCAGGCTGGGGCTTTCCAGCAGCAGGCGTGGCTCCAGTTGCCCACCAGTTTAACTGCTCCCCGCTCTATTATTATCCCAATAAATCTCTTTTAATCCCAGATCCCCCACAGCTCTTCTCTGTCGCCGAGCTGCCGGGGAGGGGAGCTGGGTGGGATGCTCTTCCCCATCCCATTGGCATCTGCTCCCACCCTGGGGAGGGCAGTGGGGACACCAGGGCCAGCCGGGCTGCGGGGCGGCCGTTAACAACCCCGGAGGCTCCGACGAGCACACAGCCAGCTCCGCAATGGGCAGTTGGATTTTTTCCTCCTCTCGTCCTCAAGCCTGTCGTTTATAAACTAATTGAATTGTTAATGAAACCTGAAATAAGAGCGAGCGCGGCTGCGCGCTTACATTTCCCACGGTTTGTGACCTGAATAGCGGCAACCTGGAGGAGGGTGAAGGAGTCTCGGCAGAACTGACCTATTTTGCTAGGCCGGGACTCAGCAGCTTTCCCTCCCCTCAGCAGATGGGTTGATCGGTGCCAGGGACGTGAGGCCAGGCTGTCACCCCCACCCCAGGCAGAGCTTCGGGGGTCAACCTGTCACGTAGAAACGGCTTCTTTAGCTGTTCTTTAGGGCTGGGGTTGGTTTAGCTCTCAGAATCACAGAATTGCAGAATCACAGAATG